GCCTCCCAAGTGCTGGGATTACAGGTGTAAACCTATAACGGTGGCCAAGATTTTAAATAAATGGTTATAGCTAGATCCCTATTTGTGAGTCACCACATTTTCACCACTGTCAACCCTACATCAATAATTGTCTAAAAACAACAAAAATTATCTCATACTTCATGGGTAACAAAGTCTTAATAACAATTAGACCTGCAGAATGGAACTAGGCCAGTTTTGGGATGTGTGTGTGTGTGTGTGTGTGTGTGTGTGTGTGTTACTAGGATTGAACCCAGTGTCTTGGCACTGAGCTACATCCCCCTCTTATTTTTTATTTTGATACAAGGTCTCACCAAGTTGCCTACAGTGGGTTCAAACTTGTGATCCTTCTGTCTCAACCTCCCAGAGTACTGGGATTACAAATTACAAGTATTTGGTCCCCACGCCTATCTAGACCTCTTGGCTTTATACTCAAAGATACAATGTATAAATTTCAGTATAAATTTCAGAATTAAAATGAACAAAAGCACCCAAAACTAACAATGATTTTAATTTTTTTAAAATTTTTTATCTTTTTGAGACAGGGTCTCACTATGCAGTTCAGGCTGGCATTGAGCTCACTTTGCAGCCCAGGCTGATCCCAAACTTGCAAAGATCCTCCTGCTTCAGCCTCCCAAATGCTGAGATTACAGATGTACGCCACCTTGCCCCGCTTTTTTTTGGTCTTAATGATTTTTAATAGCATGAATACAAAATTTAAAATAACCACATTAAATGCTTACTTCCATAAAATTTTCTTTCATTTCAGTGACACACAGGTGGTAAAATACTAGTTATAAAACAAAAGCTACTACATCAATTAACACTGTAAGATTACTACATCAGCTGGCAGCAGTGAACCATCAAAAATGCAAGGTAGATTATAGCATACTTACTTGATTAAGTCCATATCACTGAGCTGAGCCAAAATATTTGCTAAGAGATGTTTGAGTTCTCTTCGAAAGAGTTCACTGAGAATATCTACAAATTCTAGGCCCATTTTCCTGCCAATTATATTCTGTAGTTTAAAATTCCCACTGGATATAATTTCTTTTAGTATTTCTCGGTCTATTTTAGGATTTCGCTTAGCATTCTTTTTTAACGTTGAACAAACCACTTTTTCAAAATGAAGAACTGGCAATAAGTTTTTGTTGGGATACTGGTCTGGGCTTTGTGTCTGTAGCAGGCAGGACCGTGGACTGCTTCTGAAATTTTCTTCCAGAGCGAGGGTATCCTCTTCATGTTCATTGAAGCCATTTTGTTGAGTAAATGAGGAATAGCCACTGTCTTCATAAAGCCTATTGGTCTCTAGCTCTTCTATTTCATTTGAACTATTAAGTGTTTGTTCAACACGTTGATTTTCCTTGTTATGCAAGGGCTTGCTTTTCGTTTCGAATTCTACAATCCGAGGGCTCACAACTGATGACCTAAGGTATGATAACCTCTCATAGTCTTTAAGGCAGTCTTTACAGGAACTTTCCAAATAGGCGGGACTGTAGAAACCTTGTCTTCCACTGCCATCAGGTTTTACCAGTTTAACTTCAGGACGAATATGGTTGCAATTAACATCACACTTCATTTTGACATAAAGAGTGGAACTTTCTTCTTTATAACCTAGAAAAAGAGGACAACATTTACTTTGTAACTGCAAAATTTCTGCATATCCCTACTAAGTTGGGGTAGGAAAGATTAAGTTATTTCGCATTTTCTGAGCACTATGTATTGCCTATGTGCATCTGCCAATCAAGTGTGAAATTATCCAAGCTTACTGATATAACCATACTATGTGGAAATATTACTCAAAACTATAACATACAGACTCACACAGGTATTTAAATTATTCTTGCAACAGTATTTCAGAACAGATGAATTCTGGATCTGCATAACTATAACATCTATTTCTAATCTATATCTGGTTCAAAGAATGTGGGAAAAAGAACCACAAAAGAAACACCTGTACTTCTCAAACAAGTGAGAGAAAATGATGTATCAAGAGCAGAGTCTTGTTTTTGCTTTGTTTTACTTTTGTCTATGTTGTTCGTATTTTGCTATTATTCTTTTTTTATTCTCTTTAAAATAAAAAAAGTAGAGTCTAAAGTAAAAAAGTATTTTTGAACTAATTACAAATACTTCTAGAATCAGTATTTATATCCTGGATTTGAAATGACTTTTAAGCATCCGTATGTTAACATATACCTGACCTGCACAGCTCTTTTCTTGTAAGTTTTATTCTAATCCGGGATTTAGGTGACCATCTGATATTTTTAAGGTGTTAGTGCATCCTAATGGATAGTAAACTCACACAGGTACAGTGCCTTGCGGTATGCCTGATAGTGCCAGAAATACTGCTAGCCATTGGAAAACTTAGAACATTCCCTCATGAAAACCAAATTTAATCACTGAGGTGATAAGACAACAGGTATGAATTACTGTTCAGTTGTTTTAGAATAACTCATCAAAATATAAAATATTTATAAACAGCATAAAAATTATACTACCAACAAGTTATGCAATTCTTTCTGGACATTATGCAATAGAATACATTACTGACTCAAATTTAAATCTAAAAAAATCTGTTGTGAGTTCTATTCTCAGTACCAAAAAAAAATATGTTAAGGATTGTTACTCCCACCCTACTCTTAGAACCTAAGAAATCACTTATGATATACTTCGGCAGACAACATTTTAAGTTAAAATTTGTCACCAGTTACTATTTATTGTCAAATACTGGGGAAGCCAGGTAGCAATGGCAAAATATCATCCGTCATTGTCAGTTGAGGAACACAGCTTTAAAGGACTGGGGTTTTTGTCATGCACTAGGGACTGGGAAGATCCTTCACTGAAAGCTAACTTGAGCAAAGGTACAACACTTCTCAGGACTCAGGAAAACCACTACTGAAGACAGCACATACAAAGCAGGAAAACAATCAGGACACAAAGAAAGCCTCAGGCTCTTCACTGCCAGGTTAACAGCGACTTCATATGCTTCTAACATGCCTACCTCCCATCCTTTCTCTAAGCCAATCATGGGTAAGTAATAATTTGTCCTGTAAGCAAAAATGTGTACCAATTCATTATGTACTAAATGGTGGTAATTTGTCTATATTAATAGAACTGTTTTTAGTGCAAAACTTTTCAAGTCAAACTATAAAAGGATACCTTTCTGTCAAGTAATCTTCTAGGTGGAGTCTGCATCCTATGTCTATGTCTAACTATGAAAGACAAGTTATAGGCTCCAGGACCTCACTAAACTTTACACTAAATCTAAAAGATATAAACTAAGAGTTGAGGGCATAAAGAACAAATTAAAAAATATACAAACTCTACCTACCTAATTAATTCTAAAACACGTTTAGTAGTTCCCTTCTACTGAGAAGAGTTAAAAAAATGCCAAGAGATTGTTTTCTAGTTTTTCTTCAACTACTGTAAAGGATTAAGTTCTAGTCAGGTGTGGTAACACATGCCCGTAATCCCAGCACTTAGGAGGCTGAGGTACGGGGATCAGCACAATTTCAATTTAGACAGAGGACCTCAATTTATGGACAGGATAAAAAAGTATAAAAACCACCTACCTTTAAAGACACACCTTTTACTTTATTTAGTAGCCCAAAGCAAAGAGGTGTGAAACCTTACTTTCAGAATTTCTTTATTCAAAGACATACTCATTGTCTTTAGAGTATTTTATATTTCCTTTAAAGCACAAAAAAAATTTTTATCTTTCAGACATAACTATCGCTTATTTCAGAATCTCAAGCAAATGCCACAGTGCCTGATACACTGAAGACACACATACACACCCAAGTATTTTCCAGTATGGTAATGCTGGCATTAAAAATCTGTATTCTTAGTCACTGAATTAGCACATATGGAACTTTAATACAATCTTTCAACTTTTTCTTTGTGGAAATTGAATCCAGGAACTTACAACCCCAACCTCTATTATTTCACATGAATGGCACAGTTACTATACACCAGGCACCCAACTCTTGCATTTCTGTGGTGCATGTTACAATTACTGAACCAATACCAATCCATTATTCCTAATTTAAATCTATATCTTACTTGGCTCCTTAGCTTCTACTGTTTTTTTGTTTTGTTTTTTCCTGTTTCAGGATCCCAACTAAGATAATTTAGTCTTAAGATCTTAGACTTAGTCTTAAGATAATTTAGTCTTAAGATAATTTAGTCTACAAGATCTTGGCTACATCAATTTCTGACTTTCCTTGGAAATGGGGGCATAGCTCAATGGTAGGGTACGCCTGGGATGAGAGGTCTTGGGTTTGATCCTTGATCTGCAGCACCACCAACTTAAAACAAAAATAAAACTGGCCTGACTTCCCTTGCAGACGGGCCCTTGGTTGGGATTCGTGTATTTTTCCTCATGGTTTGTCTAAGGCTGTGGTTTTTAAAACACAGAGGTAGCGCTATTGTCACCATATCCTAGTAAGAGTAAAAAGTAGGCAGGGTCTTGCTACCTAGTGTAGCCTAGCCTTGAATTCACTTATATAGCCCCGCTTGGTCTCGAACTCATGGAGATCCTTTTGCCTCAGCTTCCCTTCTGAGTGCAGGGATTACAGGCATGCGGCACCATGCCCAGCCATAAACATTATTAATGCAACTTATCCTTTACAATGTTTACCTTGATCACCTGAGTGTTGGTCAGTATTCCTCATTGTAAAATCATTCCTTTGTGTTCCTTTCCCTTTCCAAATTCTTTAGGAGGAAGTCACTATACATAGCTCACACCTCAAAGGAGTGATGAGTTTGATTCTGCCTCTTTGAGCGAAGTAAATATATAAATCGTTTTTCTTTATAAAAGAGTTATCTATTCTATGTCATTTATTTCATCATTTATCAGAAAAGACGGATTTGGGGTCATAATCCAATAACAAGGTGTTGATGAAAAGTGTTCTAATTTTCACTATTGTGAACCTTTTTAGTTGGCCTGGGTACCTATTTGACATACTTGGAAATGACATTTGCATTGTTCTGTTTTGAGCGTTCCTTCTTTTCTGTCAGTACAGGATACCCCTGGTTCTTTTTATTAGAGAAAAATATTAGAAACCAAAATCAGGATGTTGGTTGTAGATTTAATTTCAAACTTTGACATTATTGCTATGAACTTTTTATCTCTACATATTACAAAACAAACTGAATTAAATACTACCATTTATAGAAAAGGAAGTTAAGTAAACTAACTCCTCGTCTTTAACTAGTCAAGTACTTTCCACTGATTAAGTCCTGTGTTCCTAAACAATTTTAAGAAATATATGATTCATACAATTGATCTGGTATTACCCTTAAAGGGAGAAAATATGACATGAATTAGACAAATGGGGCCAGGCATGGTGGCATATGCCTGCAATTCCAGCACTCAGAGGTTGAGGCAGGATGACTGCTGGAGTTCAAGGCCAGCCTGAACTATATAGCAAAAACTGCCAAAAAAAAAAAAAAAAAGACAAATGAAGGTCAAGCGTTTAGCTTGAGCTGGACATGGTGGAGCAGCCCTATAATTCCAGCCCTTCCAACACTTGAAGGCTAAAACAGGAGGGCTGCTGCTCCTTCAAAATAGAGATCCAGCATGAACTACATACCAACACCCTAGCGCAAACAGTGTCTAGTTTGCCACTTCTGTTTACCCAATACCTGCTTAATGACAGGGCAAGAAAGGGAGGAAAATAACTATTATCATCTTTATTTTTTTTAGTACTGGAGAGTGAATCCAGGGCCTTCATCCTGAGCTACATCTCCAGCCCTTCTTGTTTTTTTAAATTTTGAGATAGGATCTCACTGAGTTGCTAAGTTGGCCAGGTTGGGATCAAACTTGTATCCTCCTGCCTCAGCCTCCCAGAGTGCTTGAATTTAATTAAGGGTGTGTGCCACCAAGCTTGGCTTTCATGGTGATCTAGACAAAGTGATATTCTGAGATCTGAAAACTCTGTGGATATCTGTTCAGAAGAGCTGGAGATTCAGACAAACATAGGAAACAAGAAGTATAAAGTTTTCAAGGAGGAATAAAGCATGTAGGGCTGCTGCAACAACTTAGCTAGGAGAATGACTCAAAAATAGTTTGAGTTAAAAGTGGTCTACAGTATGTGTAGGACAGGCTGGCCTTCACATTGTTCTAGGCAGTGGAGTGACATTTGGTTTATATTTTGAAAAGATCACTGGCAACTGTGGAGAACAGGTTGCAGAAGGTAGCAATAGAAGGCGAGGAAGTTTATCACAGGAATCCAGAGTTGGGGACCCAGGGCAAGGAAGATGATTGCACCGGAAACAAAATGGGTAGATACTAGAGGGTTTCATCCCCACTACAGGGGTGAGGTTGGGGTTACTCCTATTATATAGGAGTAAAAATTAGTTGTTTATGTACTTTGGATGTGGATGATGACTAAGGAAAATTCTTAGGGTTTCAGGCTTCAATACCTTAGATATAAAGTACCATTTCCAGAATTGGGGGAAATGGACACGATTCTTAAAGCCTCAGTTCCCCACCCATAAAAATGGGAAAGAAAAACAAAATAAATGTATGGCTAGTTCTTAGAGTCCTTATTACAAAGATCTAATCAATAGGATCTCTTTTACCACATTATTCACAATAAGCCAAACTCCACCTTTCTCACAAACCCAAAAGTAGTAAGATCCATGTACATGAAGGCATACATTTAGGACATGGATCCAAGTTCCAAATGAAAAGCCCTGCTCACCCTTATGATTAGCTTTGGTAACTTGGAACAGTTATGTGTCTCTCCTTGTGTTCCCTAAAATGGAGATAGTATTGAGTCAAATATTGCATTTTTAATAAAACTCTCACTAACAAGTCACAGCCAAATCAAGAAAATAGTATGATAATAAACTGTGTACTGACTTCCACATTCATATGATTAAGAATACAGTGCTTAAAAATCTATATAACGCATCCAGTATGTTAATCATATGATTAAGTTCCAGTGTTCAATACTTATAGATAACTATGTGTTCAGGGTCAGGCATGGACATTCTTTAAGAATTTAAAAGGTCCAAGGCTCATGACCAAAAACTGGAAGTGAGCCCCAATCCCATGAAAATTTCAGAAAATTCTACTTTTAAAAAGTATGTAGGTGTAATAATTTTAAAATTTCTTCTAACCTATTAGCAGGAAAAAAAAGGTGGAAGCACCAAATACCTTCTGAGGAGAAAAAGTACTAAAACTCAACTGGAATTTATAAAAATCAAGTTTCACAACTTCAAAGGCAGACTTATGATTCAGGATCTTCTACACAAATACTTAGCCTGTTAAAATTAAGTACTTTTTTCTTTCAAGACATGATTGCTTTTCTAATGATAGACTCATTCTCAGATTGTTAAAAAACAAAATCGAATTGCTATTTTCTTGATTTCTAGCCATGTGAGGTAAAACGAATGCATGTGGAATTCATTTAAAGATGGCAACAAAAAAAGATGAAATTAAATATGTGAGTTATGAAAGAACCCAAATTGTGGAATAATGAAATAACTAATTTTATAGTGGTATAGGGTAAATAAAAACCATTTCTTCATTTCTTAGAAAAATCGAGTGAAAGCTATAGGAAATCCGCGATTTTGTACTAAAAAGTGCTTTTAAAAAAATCACCCCCGCTTCAACTCCGGGTTTTGAGATAGTTACTGAGCAAAGGGGAAAAAAGGGGGAACCTGACGTTTTTGTTGGTATGTCCCATTGAGTTTGGTCCGATGGGGAGGGGATCTCTCCATTTGGCGGGAGTCGGGAGGGAGCAAGACCCTGGAAATCCTGAGAGGTCGGTGGGGGTGGGACATCCCCTCAGGGCGCGGGACGGGCGGAGGCGGGAGATAACCTAGATCTCCCGCGCCCGCCAAGACTCAGGAGGCGGAAGGCTGGGGAAACCAACCCTGGAAGCGAGGGTCCTGACAGATGGCGAAGGGGGACTGAGGCACCTGGTGGGACGCGGGGGGTGCAGCTCGCGGCCCGACCCGGTGGGGGAGGGGAGTGGGCCTTGGCGCCCATTCGCGGGGTAGGGACAGGTAGGGCTTCCCAGGGAGAAAACGGGCGCGCAGTGGGCCACGACCAAGCGCGCTTCTCCGGTGTCGGAGCCCAGGCTCCTCGTGGCCAGGGGCGCCCCACAGCCCGCCAGCCCGCCGTCCCACCCGGCGCACCCGCTTTTCCCTCCCCGAACCCCAGAGCCCGCCTTCTCCGACCCCAGATCCCCCGCCGCCGCCCGCCCGGGGACGCTCTGAGTGCGCGGCCGGGCGTCCGAGCTCGGGGCCGTCGGGCCGGGGTCGCAGGGTGCGCCTTTTCCGAGCAGCCCTCCCAGAGCCGCTCCCCGCGCGCGCTGCCCTCACTCACTGTCCGGGGGGCGAGGGCGCCCGGCGGCTGTCACTGGGCTGAAGTTGCAGGAGCAGGAGGGTGACCGTGCGACACAGCTGCAGGGGCGCCGGCTCATGCCAGTGGACGTGCGTTCCGCCTCAGGTGAAGGAATAACGCGACACCGGCGGCGAGGCGGGATGGCCGCTCCACAGAGCAGTAGCTCTTAAAAGGCGCCAGCTGGTACTTTTAAAATCTTTGAATTTGGTGCCCAAATCCGCGCGGCCCAATGGGGCGCGCCCTTCGTACGCATGGACCAATAAGAAAACGACAGGCGGGGACTCGCCCGCCCACGGCCAATTGGAAGCAGAGAGGCAGGGCCTTAATTCCATAGCCCAACCCCCTACCATCTCGGCTCTCAGTCCGCCCGGAAAGATGCTGAAACCGGAGGCGGGGCCTCCGAGGCCCTGGAGCTGGCGGTCCAGTCGCACGTGGAGAGGGCCTACCACGCCTGCGTACACCGGCTCCCCTCTCGGTCCGCTAGGGAAGGGACTTCCCGCAAGTCCTAATTTCATCCTGAAGGCAGCTCCGGTTTCGATCTGAAGCTCTCTGATGGGTACAAATGATATCCAGATTTCCTCGATCGTCTTACAGGTGGGAGTAAGATGAGCGGCAACTCCGATCGTCAGAGAATGTGGACTTTCCGGGACACAGCCCGCCCCCAGCACTAGGTAGCCCGCCTCTCTAGGATTCGCGCGCGGTGCTCTCTTTCCCTCGGCCCTCCCCCCCCGGCCCGGGGCTTCCGCGCAGGCGCCTTGGTGGCGGGGTGTGTGTGTTGGGGGGGAACCGAGGACTTGGCGGGTTGGCGCCTGCGCCCTGGGGTCTCCCGCGTTTCCTCCGCGGGCTGGGCTGGGAGGAGCCACACAGGTAGCGACGCGTAGGTGCGCGCCCCTCCGGGCGAGGCGGAGCGGCCGGCTGCGCCCAGCGCGCCGTGGCGGGAGATTTGCGGCCGCGTTTTTTTTTTTTGGACCTTTAGGCGGGGCTGAGTCTGTTTTCCTTCCTTTCTTTCATGAGTTAATCAGACTGTATTAGTATTGATTCGTGCTTTCAGCTGCAATTCTTCAGCCGCTCGTTTTTTGAGCATTAAGTTGTTTTGAATTTGTATTTACGCTCTTCTGAGTTTTTGTTTCCTTCATGAGCAAAGCGCAAGAGATAGTAGTCCTACTCCAAAAAATAATTAATAATAAGGCAAAACCCCTACTTGATTGGGCTGGAGATCCCTGGCCAGGCGAACATTTTTGTAGTGCTTGCTAGAGCGAATAATGACAGTTTGTACCGTATTTACTGGTGATGCTAAACTTTTGACAGGTTGCACAAGCTGCTAAGCGGTGACAGTGCAGTCCCTGGAATCGGTGAAGCCAGAGGATGCCCGCTTCAAAAAACTCGAATCCCGCCTTGCGCGGTTTGCTGGCCTCGCTTCTCTGCAGCATCAGGAAGAAAGAATTAGGGCTTTGCTCCCAGTTCGTGTCCTGTGCAGTTGGTGACGCTTTCTGTGTGAGGCAGAGCCAAACTGAGGATGAGTCACGCAAATGCTGGGTGGATCCTGTCTTAACGTAACATTTTTATATTGAGTTCATTCTGATTTTTTTTCCACTTTCATATTTTGAAATGTTGCATTATCGTGTCAACTCTGGTTACCGGAATTTTGGTCCGTCCCAGAAGTTTTGCACATGAGGACATGGTGCTTGCTTTGCTTAGCTCTGATGCTGGGTCCTGGAGATCCCGGTACAAAAAGATAAAAGTCTAGTCCTTCAGGAAGTGCATATACAAATGGGAAAGAAATGGATAATTAAGAATTTCAGTAAAAGGCAAGAAAATATAAAACACGGGAAGAGAATAGAGAGAGGAGTAGAGACACCGTTAAGGATGTTGCTCAGGAAGATTTGTGAGACTTTGAACCATCATCAGAATGCTGAGCTGGCCATCGAGAAAGCTACCTCCAATAAGCAGAGGGAAGACAAGAGAGTGCCTGGCAAGAACGCATAGAACAAGAAAGAATTTAGGGGACAAGGTCAAAGTGGTAGGGAGAAGCCAGGTCCTGTATATCTTGCAGATTTCCATGTAAAGTTCAGAGCTTCTTCTGATTGTGCTGGATGACAGTTGTAGGGGTTTTAGCAAGGGAGTGCTTTGTTGAGTATTAAAACCATAGACGGCCTGTGGTAGTTCATGCCTGCAATCCCAGCACTGGGGAGGTAGAGGCAGGAAGATCAAAGTGAGTTTGATGCCAGTCTGGACTACATAGTGCGTTCAAGGCCAGCCTGAATTACATGGCATGACCTTGTCCCCAAAAATAAAACAAAAAGAAAACTAGTAAGTTCTTTTTATATGCAGTACTGTAAAAAGATTGTTAATCTTTAATTCTTACAGTAATACTAGCATTTTACTTTATGATGATTATACATAGACATGTAAGTTAATTCTGACTATGGTTATAGAACTGCACGGCTAGTAGGCATATGAATCTTATAGACTGGGAAGATACCTGAGGAAAACTATGTCCTCACAGGACAGAAGGTGGAAGGGACAGACTCCACCTTCTGTCTGGGAGTTGGGAGACTGTAGGATTCAAGTTGGGAGTCTATAGGACTCAAAAGTCTATGTGCTTTATTCCCTTTTATTCTGAAGAATAACGTTTTCTAGGGTCTGGTTAGTAGTTTATTTTTACACTATTTCCCAATTTGACCTTAGAGATCATCTTTAATCACCTCTTTTATTTTCAGGTATGGACCAAGATGAAAGGGGGGGTTCTCCGTAAATAAGTGGAACACCTGAACTATATGACCTTTGCATCCATAAAACTGAAAAGGCTCCTGTAAGAGTCCAGCCATTGTAGATCAGGGACCATCTGTATTTGTTCATGGTAGATCCTGACCAGCCCTTTCCTCTTTTCTTTTTTCTTTTCTTTTCTTTTTTCTTTTCTTTTCTTTTTGTTTCTTTTCTTTTCTCGTTTTTCTTTTCTTTCCTGTGCTTTTCTTTTCTTCTTTCTATCTCTTTTTTTCTTTCCTTCTTTCAGTACTGAGGCTTGAACCCATGGCATTTGCACTTCACTATATCATCAGCCTACTCACCCCACCCCACCCCACCCTGCTACGACACACACCTTTTTTTAATGGAAAGATTTACTAAATTGCCAAGGCTGGGCTGGAATTTAGGATTTTCCTGTCTCAGCTCCCAGAGTGCTGGGATTATGGGCATGTTCCAGGGTGCACTGCCTCCTAACTCCTTATTAAACACAAAAGCTTGGGACAGAAATAAACCAGTAAATTTACTATTGTGTAGTAAATGTTGTTTTTGGTTTTTTGTTTTGTTTTTTTTTTTTGGTTTTGGTTTTTCTCCGGTACCAGGAACCGAACTCACGACCTTGCGCTTGCCAGGCAGGTGCTTTTGCCGCTGAGCTAAATCCCCAACCCCATAAATGTTGTTATTTAAGAATAATGGTGTCTCAGTGCATTTTGTGCTTCTGTAGCAATGTCACACTCTGGGTAATTTAAAAAGAATAAAAATTTATGTCTCACAGTTCTATAAGCTGGGAAATCTAAGACTGAGACTCTGCCATCTGGTAAAGCCTGCTTTATGCTTCTAACATGGTGCCTTGAATTCTGGTTCCTCACTCAGCAGAAGGTAGAAGAGCAAAAGGGGCCAAACTCCTCCATCAAGCCCTTTTATAATAGCATTAATCATTACAGAGGGCAAAGCCCTCAAAACCTAAACACCTTCCCGAAAGTCCCACTTCAGTACACTGCTACATTCTAGACTGAGGTTCAATACATCGATTTGGGGGCACATCTGGATCTTAGCATGTGGTAAAGTACTGTGGAATATAAATGAAGAAGCAGTTAATTCTGCCTAAGAGGTAAGTTGCCTTTTAGGTTAGACCCTGAAATCTGTCTGCAGAGGTGTTTTCTAGGCAGAGCATGCAGCATAAACAAGAGGAGATAGTGACAATACCTAGTTAATAAGATAGTTATGTAAATGGTTGTTTATGGAAATCGCTGTGAAGGTCCGTTTCAAGGACCTTCAAATATTAGGATTTCACTAGACCTGTACTTCTGTACAATTATGACTTCTAGCATGATTATACTGCTCTAGTCTTCCCTTTTCATGGATTTCCAAAATTACATTTGATCAGCTAGGAATAAGTAATTAGTGTAGGAGGAGCCAATAACAGTTGACTGACCAGAGTGCCCATTGCTCTGCATGTTTATGATACACGTACTCTTGTAATCTTAGCACTCTAGAGACCGAGGCAGGATGATTCCTGCCCGTTGGAGGCCTATCCGTGCTGCGTAGTGAGTTTGAGATCAACCTGAACTGCATACCAGAGGGAGACTGACCCTGTCTTAAAAATTAAATAAATACACCTGATTTATACCATTTTATGTCATTTTAAATTTCATTTCACTTGTGCCAGGAACTGAGCCCAAGTCCTCCAGCATGCTAAGCATCGACTTTACCACAGAGCTATATCCCTGTCCTCTGATGTGTATTTTATATTTATATCCTTAGAAGGCTGGGTGTGGTGGTGCACGCCTGTAATCCCAGCACTCAGGAGGCTGAGGCAGGAGGATCGATGTGAGTTGAGACCAGCCTGGGCTACAAGTGAGCTCAAGGCTAGCCTGAACTGCATAGCGAGACCCTGTCTCAAAAATACAAAAAACAAATTATATTGTTAGAAATCACTTAAATATTAGGGAAATTTTGTCTACCATGTTCCAGTGTACGGGGAGTTTACAGATCTACCAAAGGTTCCTTTCCGCCCTAACTAGTGCAGCTCTTACACTTTCTTTTCCTGAGGGCAGGAGATAAGGCGATGGCTGGGGCCAGCATAACTATGCAACTTGCTTAAAGAATAAAGTCCAACTTGCACTCTAACTTTTCTAAGTACTACCTATTGGAAGAGGTGAGGGGAAATTAAGTAATAATACATTCTAGTATTTAATCACCTGTGGATCTGTGCCTCTGGTCCAACACAGAAACCTGGAAAATGATATAAGAAGTGATAAAAGGGGCTGGGGATTTAGCTCAGTGGCACAGCACCTGCCTGGCAAGCGCAAGGTCATGAGTTTGATTCCTGGTACCGGAAAACAAACAAACAAAAAAGAAGTGATAAAACAACAAGAACTAAATGTAGTTCATCAGCACACCTGTAATCCCAGCACTCAGGAGGCTGAGGCAGGAGGATTACTGTGAGAGTTCAAGGCCAGCCTGGGCTACAAAGTGAGCTCAAGGCCAGCCTGAACTGCATAGCAAGACCCTGACTCAAAAAGACATAAATAAATAAATAAATAAATAAATGTGGTTTATCAGTCCTACTGAGTTCTTGAGTTGCATAGGTCACTGAGAGCTGCATCTCGCAGTTATTATGAACACAGAATACCTTTCATGAGAGGGATTCTTTCCAAATTAAAAGTATCTGATTTAATTCAGAGCCAGCTTTGGGATTGTGTCTTGTCTTGAATGGTTTTTGTGTACATCCCTTTTAAAGCATTCACATGAGACAATAAATTATCAATAAACTACCCTGAAAATTAACACAAGCAGGGATGTAAAAGAAATTTGGCAGCTGGGCGTGGTGGCACACAGCTATAATCCCAGCACTCAGGAGGCTGAGGCAGGAGGATCACTGCAATTTCCAGACCGGCCTGAACTACAAAATGAGCTCAAGACCAGCCGGAACTGCATAGTGAGACCTTGTCTCAAAAAGACAAAAAAAAAGTTCAAGATGCTGGTCTGGTGGAGGGCCTTCTTGCTGTGCTCTCATAAAGGGCAAGCTAGCTGAACACCACATGAAGCCTCTTTCCTGAGGGCATTAGTCCCATTCATGATAGAGAGCGCTCATAGACTAAGCAAAGAGTTTAATGATACTATCAGACCAGCAACACCTGATTGGGAAGGGGACACACTCAAACCTCAGCAATCTGTTACATTTCTCTTTTGCCAGCTAGCACGTTAACCCTTGTCAGTGAGGGTTGGTGGAGGGACACTGAAAGCACAGGACTTCGTTTCTTGTTTCTGTGGCATAGCTTCCCCGGGCAGTCTTGGACACTGAAGGTTAATTTTCTTTGTCAATAGGGATACCCACAGATATGGTCACATTATTCTGGGTGTTTCTATGAGTAAGTTTTTGGATGAAATTTCCATTTAAATCAGTGCATTTTGAGTAAACAGACTGCCTTCTCCATGTCAGTGGTTTCATCCAGTCAGTGGATAGTCTGAGTAGAACAATACCAGCTACCTCCAACCAAGAGAAAATTCTCCAGCAGGGTCGTAGACTGGGACTCACCATCAGCTCTCCTGGGTCTCCAGACTGCTGGGTTATGCTGCAAATTTTGTTTTTTTCTTTTTTCTGTTTTGTCTTTTTGAGGCTTGGTTTCAAGGCTGACCTTGGACGCCTTTTAGAGCCTAGGCTGGCCTTGAACTTGCAGCGATCCTCCTGCCTCAGCCTCCTGAGTGCTAGGATCATGGGCATGCACCACCACTCTTGGCCTGTGCTGCATATTTTGAACTTGTCTGGCTTGATAATTATGAGCCAATCACTCTACCAAATCTTGTCTCTGTATATACACACTGGATCCTTTCTGCTTCTCTGAAGAACCATAATACGGAAAGGCTTACTATCCAACAAGTTTTATTCGCATGTTAACAGAAAGTTTCTTGCTTATCAGTTGCTAAGGCTCTGAGGTCCTCTGCTTATAATTCCTGAGCTACCAGCTCTATACCAGCTCTGGCGCAGGGCAACCCAGGAAGCTTTCCATCACTGAGTGGTCTGCAACCACACCGCTAACAGGTCTGTATTTAGCAGGTGGGGGCTTGAAAGAATATTCTTTTGTTTGGTGTTTCCTCATTCTGAAGGCACTAGCTCAGTGGTAGTGTATCAGAGTTGTCTTTTATTCCACTGTCAGTCAAATAAATGATATGGTTTCCGCCTCCTGACTGGACAATGAATAATGTGGTATGTATTACCATACTTCCATTTCATGTTGGAAGCATTTCTGATAGAGTTAAACCGAAGTTTTGATCATCAATTAAATACTTTAAGGAAACAAGTGACTACTATTCATTGTCTATTTCTTATGCAGAAGAGTTTGAGGTTTATGACAACAGTAATGTTAATGCTGTGTGTATGTTACTAATACATTGAGAGGGATCTACACTAATGACCCTTGTCTTAAGATTACATTACTTCCACCTGTGTTAACTCATGGTTTTCAAGAAAATACTGGTGGGTATTTGCTGTGATAAAATTTTTCTAAGCCATATGTTGTATAAAAGGCTTTAATAACAAGTCACCTTAAACTGTTTTAGAGATAATTTCTACTAAAGATTCATAATCGGCATAGTCTTTCAATGACTGTATAAGTTCATCTAGTAGATAATTTCCTTGCATGAAAGTTTCAAGATCATGCAGTGATTTGTTTATTCTGTGATCTGTGACCCGGTTCTGTGGAAAATTATATGTTCTTATTTTCTCTGATCTTCCTTTAGTTCCAATCTATTAAAAAAAAAGATGAGATGCAATTAGATTCAGGATAGCTTAAGTCTATAAATTTAGCTTACTTGGGATTTGTAATATAAATTGCAATTCAAGAACCAAGTTTTAATACTGTGCATCCCCAAATGGCATGGGAAGATGATAGAAAAAATATGGGCTTTAAAATCAGATTAATAGGGGCTGGGGCTTTAGCTCAGCAGCACAGCATCTGCCTGGCAAGCTCAAGGTCGTGAGTTCGATTCCTGGTACCGGAAAAAACCAAAGAAACAAAACAAAATCATATTAATATTTGAATCCCATGTCTGCCACTTTAATGCTGTATGATATCAGGCAGTTTATTTCAACTTTAAACTTTAATGTCCCTATCTGTAATATAAAGACAAATAGTGTCTACTACAGTGATGATGTATATATAGAAGCTGGCAAATAGCTGATATTCAAATAGTAGACAATGATACATAATCTTTGTGAGTTACTGTAGTCATTTCGAGTAGTGACAAGATGATGAATGTCTCACAGTGAGGAATTATTAAAAGGGCTCTGTAAATTATAAAATTAAATGCCAAGCAGAAAGAAAAGTAAGTTGTTACTTTCCAACTTGCATGCTTCCATAATTTCAAAGGCTTGAAAATGAATAAGGACACAGTATATCTTTTTTTCAGTAACTTTGATAAAGGCTGGAAAAGATGCCTTTGAATACAGAAAAATAGGGCAGAGTTATGATTACTATGGAACAGGCATAGTTCTTTTTTAAGCTACTTATTTTCTTATTTTGACAAGTATATGTAAACAACTGTGACATACAAATACTGAGTTAACAAAAACATGTTTCTCTTTTAGAAGCATTTTTAAGTTACTTCTTACCTGAATCTTTCTAGCATTGTATCTTTTACTTGTTTCTTCCTCTAGATGCATGCTGTACAGCTTTGCACATAACTTTTTCATAGCCAACTCTTTGTTTCTAAGTTGAGATCTCTCTTCTTGGCATTCAGAAACAATACCTGAATATTAGGATGAGAATTAAAGAAAACAGAATAACCTGCATTTAATTTAATAGAAAAACCTACATTTACTTGCAAGTAATAGTCTTTTTCCTTCTTATTCTTTTTCTTCCTGTATGAGGGGAGAAGAACAGTACTCTAACATAAAAGGCAGATAATAAACTTTATAAAGTCTAAGCTTGAGCTGTAACCACAAAGTACTTCCACATGGAAAGCATACATATTGAACAATAAATACAAATCATATAATATAGATTACCGTCCCATACGTACCATAATTTTTTAAAGAAATAATTCCTTATAGAAACTAAGATATATAGATGTTTAAAATCCTATTATTAGAGACATCACTATTAATATTTTTGAGGAGTTCCACTTTTTTCCCTATTCTTGGTTGTGTAGTCTGTAATATATAAGACATCATCTTAAAGTTTAACATGAGGTGTGAGTTCAAGACCAGCCTGGGTTACAAAGTGAGCTAAAGGCCAGCCTGAACTGCATAGTGAGACCCTGTCTCAAAAAGACAAAAAATTTTAACATGAGTATTTTCCTGTATTTAAAAGAACAAAACTATTAATTCAGCACTCATCAACCAAAACTGGTTAATGGAAGCTATTCCTATTTGAGATCAGTCAAACAAAGAGATTCTTATATTCTTCTAGATATGTGTGGTATGCTAGCCCTGTGTTCTTTACCACATGTAAATTGCTATAGTATCACTCACTACTTAGTTCTAGGTAGTAGTATATTGGAAACTTAAAAAGATTTAGATACAGTTCCTTTATCTAATTACTGGATCAGGTCCCTTGGAAGTCTGTGAAAAAATTCAATGAAGGAAAGAAACCCCTTAAATTATATGCAAATTTTATATGGAGGTATGCTTCTGGGTAGGAGGACCAAGGAGTCCTTAGAAAAGGACAAGAAACAGTGATGTAGGATATTTTCTAAGAAAGAACCATAACAATAACTTCACTGTGAGCATTTAAAAATTACCTAAAATTATTACAGATATATTCAGAAAGCTACTTGGAAGGACTGTTGACAGATGCCTCTCTTCATGGTCACTAATGAGGAAACTCCTTAGGCTCAGACCTCTCTCTTCCAGGCTTTGTGACTGCTCTGTGAAGTATCAGCTACAGATTTGAAGATGATGTAACTAATAACAATACTTAGTGGTATATATTTCTTTGGTATTGAAGGTCTATATCAGTGGAAAATTAGTTAGTTCCCTCAGAAACTGACTTTTCTTCAATGTTTTAACTTCAAGAAAGAAGTACATACCTGTTGGAAGATGAACTATCCGGACAGCACTGTCTGTGGTATTCACGTGCTGACCCCCAGCTCCACTGGCTCGCTTTGTGTCAATTCTCAAATCTTTAGGATTAATCACCAGATTAATCTACACATGTGAAGAAATGTTGAGATTTTTTAAAAAATACATGTACCCGCTATATAAAGGCTTATTTATAAATACATGTTACATATGGAGAATTCATATAAGATTTAAAAGATTTAAGAATAAATAGTATTTAGAAGGATACTATCAGTTTTTCTTTTCAGAAGAGAAAGGAATCAAAACAAAGTGCAGAATAAAAAGCAAACACTTCCTAATTTTCAAAACCTGGGCTTCTCTGTAAATTCCTTCTTTTTTACAGAATGTTTCTGCACGCAAGAAGATGTTAGAGAGGAGAAAAATGCTAACTTGAATAGAGGAAGTATAATTTCACACATATTTCAAGGGAAAGGGACGCAGCAAAAACTAAGAAGCCTGGGGTGCAGACTCAGTGACTATACTGTATGGTGACAGCAGGGTAATGCTTTATCCTGGGAGTCACCATCAGAAGCACTGCTCCATGAGCAACTATTGACCTCTCTGCCCTGCCACCGTCCTGGCTAAGAATGCTGTCATGCCCTTAGTCTTTCTTAATTCTCTAGAGTGCTCCCTCAGAAAGTTGCCAGAAGAACTCGATCATACATGAACCTGTCTTCCATCCGCTCATGAAAGTTTGTACCACCTCCAAATATAAACCATTCGGAGTGGTTAAACTAAAGTGAGTAGCACCTAGGGGTGGTGCCTGCCATTTACTCTGTGTCTTTTTCTCCCTTACCTGTTATGCTCCTCATCTAGGACACACACACACACACACAAAGTAGATGTAAAGAAACACTAGTAACCCTACCATAGAGTAAAAATTTCCTCAAAACTAATAAACACAAACCTTTGATTAAACTTCCTTCTCTTCAAAAATTCATACTTCTGAAAAGCAAGTCAAGGGGCAAGGCACAACACTTGGCTCAGGATTCCAAGACCAGGGGTAACTATCCCTCACCTCGGTAGGTTGGGGTAATATTGCCACCGTCATCGTGCTAGTATGGATGCGGCCTTGCTTCTCAGTCCTGGGCACTCTTTGTACTCTGTGCACTCCTCCTTCAAATTTCATCAATTTATAGGCTTCTGAACCCCCAATGCTGGCAGAAGCATGTCTGAGGCCACCTTGAAAATAGAAAATACAATTCACTTTATTGTTCTTGCCATTTGTAAATAATTGACTACATCTATTTTGAAATACACGACAGAATAAAAAAAGTATATTAAAGAATTATAGTGTAGCCTGGTGTGGTGGTGCATGCCTGTAGTCCTAGCACTGAGACAGAGGATTGTTGCAAGTTCGAGACCAGCCTGGGCTACAAAGTGAGCTCAAGGCCAGCCTGAACTGCATAGTGAGACCCTGTCTCAAAAAGACTAAATAAATAAATAAGTAAATATTTTACAAAAAGAACTATAGCATGTCTTTATTTAGTCTCACTCTTTACTGTTTTATAATTATTAAACAAAGCATTTTTGGTACTAATGAGTTGACATCAATCACACATTTAAAAGACTATTTCTAAAAAATTACAGTCACTCCATGGTTATTATTGAATGACTAATCAGATTTTACAGACCATTTCAAAAGGGGTATGTTTACATTCAAAATTCTTAGGTAAATGAACACAAAACTAAGGTTCCTTAAAAAAAGTTCTAAAGCTAGTCATGGTCTTGTTAACCCTTTTCCCAGGACATATGTAGATAAATAAATTAAATCTACATTTTACCAAAACAAACTGAACAGTTCACTGACCTTTTTCACTTGGAAAATATTCCAGGGTTTCAAAATGCCATCTTTTAAATGCAGCGTATTGCTGATACATTTCAAACATCTCAGCAGTAAACAGCATTGCTTCCTGACCCCCAACTCCTGTAGTTACCTCCAGGATCAGATCCTTGTCATCTGTTTCTTCTGAGGGAACCAAAAGTAAGATAATCTGTAAATGCAAAAATATTGCTTATCCTATAATAAATATTTAAAATTTACCCCCCAAACCCCAAAGATATAAGAGGGCTAGGATTGTGGGGGCCACATGTATATGGGATCCTGGGTATCCAGGAATACTGGGGAGCCGTGGAGGCTGGGGCATTAAGGGGGATCAAAATCTGGAGGTCTAGGGAGGCTACTTGGATCTAGGAGATAGATGGACAGATGGGGGTTTGGGGAGTATTATCCTATAATTTAATAATGCTGCCAACCTAACTGCCATCTTGTCAATTAGAAAAATAGAATGCAGAAGAACTTCCTTAAAGTATAATGTTACAACTATATTATGAGTAAGATTCACCTAAAATTTATTTTATCTTAGAGTTCTTATATGCTTTGTATCAGTTCTCCATTCTGTTAATAAGAAATAAGTGCTTATTACAGGTAGGACTAGTATGGAAGAAAAACAAAAGCACTCAAATCTGATCTTGGAAGCTTCTTTAATATGGAAGAGAAATGTCTCATCTTGGAACTCTGGGACTAACTCCCCCTCTCCAGGCGCTGGAGACACAAAGACGGCAGAAATGCTTCATTTTTTACACAAGTACCATACCTGGTGCTTTAACTGGGTTATTTCTTTTTGACACAGAGTTATTTCATTCTCTGCAAGTTTCTTTAAATCTTCATTCTTATCTAAAAAGAAAGGCAGCAGTTAAATATTCCTTAAGGGTTAAGTTGTGAACAGACTTCAAACTAATAGGTTGTTAGTGTCCTTGAAGCAGAAAATATTTATCTTGACGTTTTAATAATTGCCATCAGAGCCGGGCATGGTGGTGCACACCTATAATCCCAGCACTTGGGAGACTGAGGCAGGAGGATCGCGGTGAGTTTGAGGCCAGCCTGGGCTACAAACTGAGGTTAAGGCCAGCCTGAACTGCATAGCCAGACCCTGTCTCAAAAAGACCAAAAAAAAAAACCATCAATTAAAAGTAGCTTTCATAAGCATGTGGCTATAAAACAAACTTTTCTGATGAAAGTATAAAACTAAGAAAGCGTATAGGAAAATAAAGAAGTTAAACTTTTTTTTTTTTTATCATTTTACCTTCATGAAATACGTTAATAAACTTTTGGCTTCCTGAATTAGGCAGTAACAGTAACAAATGAATGGAGTTAGCTATTCAGAAAGACCAGAAAGAAAATAAGGTAAACCAAAACTGAATTTAAAAATAGAAAGTTATTTATTGCGAAAGGACAAATTGTTTTCGCTATTATACAGTGTTCTGTGAAAGATCAAAGACTTTAAAGAGTACCAGCTTGTACACTTATGTACTAAGAAACAGTCACGCTGGGAACTGGCAATACTATCTAATACACATATAAGACCTACCTTTGGGCAGGTCTCAGAAGGTGGCGGCGCTGCGCGGGGGCGGGGAGAGCCGGGTCGCAGGCCGCGCCCAGCTCAGAACGCCACTCCTGATGCCCTCAACTGCCTCTCCTCTCTACTGGTCTTGCCCCTGTCCCTGGCACTCAGGGAGCGGAACCAGGTATGGGGGGAGGTCTGGGGACGGTAGGGCTGCTACAGGGATAGGTGTTGGGGCAGTGTGGAGGGTCTAAGAGTACTGAAGGTCCGGGTTCACTTCCGGGGCCATGACAGTGGGCTCCGGGGGCGGTAGGTACTGGGTATCATACTCGAGTGCTAGCAGAAATACAGGAGTGCTGGGATGATACAGAAGCTAGGAGCAGGGCAGGTCTGAGGGAGGCACAAGGAGCGAAACAAGGGTGTCAGTTTGCAGGGGCTAGTAGAGAATGGTAGCAAGCGCCCTAGCAGGAGTCTGAGGGGTGGAACTTAAGAGATCAGGGGCAGTGGCAAAGGGCTGCAGGCATACCAGGGATTATATGGGGTACTAGAGAGCAGTGTTAACTGCTCCAGGGTGCAGAGGGCCTCTGGGGGCAGTCTCTAGTCCCCATGGGGCAGCCCAGGCTTGGTCAATAACTGGACTAGTTATCCTGAGCCCCCAGGGCTGCACCACTGCATTGAGTTATTGAGGTATATGCAATTTAGGGTCCCTGGGAGGATGGTGGGTATGCTGCAGGCTGGGAATGTGGGGGTCACCTGTATATAGGAGTCTGTGGTGTCCGGGAATATTGGGAAACCCAGGGGATTGGGACATTAGGGGCTCAAAATCTGGAGGACTGGGGTGGGTACCTGGGTCTAGGAGATAGTTGGACAGGGAGGGTGACGATAACAATATGCTGGGGATACCTGGGTGATGGAGTTGCTGGTGCCTGCAGGAAGAACTCAGTAGGTGACAAAGCTTCTCTGGCTCAAGATCAAGCTCCCTGGGGTGCCCTGTGCCCTTGAGGGTGCACAGGTATTTTGTCCAGACCCGTTACACAACCTCTCCTCTGTGCTGATTAGAAAATTCAGTAGATGGTGATGGCCTTTAAGGAGGCAGAGACCAGTTTCTGCAATTATACGGAGGCAGACTCCGTTTTCTTTAAGGGGTGGCATGGTGCCTCTGCTCCCCAGCCTCACCCTGACCTTCTGCATCTCATGTTTCAGGCCTAAGATCCTGGTTATGGCTCTGGCTACCATAGTGCATGACACATCTGAGGCGGTAGAGCTCTGCCCCTCCTATGGCCTGTACCTGAAGCCCATCACGAAGATGACCATCAGTGTGGCCCTCCCGCAGCTGCAGCAGCCCAGGAAGTCCATCTCCAACTGGGAGGTAATGGAGCGGCTCAAGGACATGGTGGGCAACCACCAGTTCTCCACACTGCGCATCTCCAAGAGCACCATGGACTTCATCAGTTTCGAGGGGGAGGTGGAGAACAAGAGCCTGGTCAGATCATTCCTAACCTGCCTGGACGGTAAGACCATCCAGCTCAGTGGCTTCTCCGACATCCTCAAGGTGCGTGCCACTGAGTTCAAAATGGACCTCGCCACCTGCGCTGACTGGGACCTCTTCCTCAATGCAAAGGAAAGAAAGGAGATGCTGCCAGGGGAATGGCCAGACACCATCCACCTGGAGGGGCTGCCGTGCAAGTGGTTCACACAGAAGGAATCAGGCTCAGAGAAGCCCAGCCAGGAAGTACTCATCAAGGTGTTCGAGAAGTTTGGGGAGATCAGGAATGTGGACATCCCCATGTTGGACCCCTACCGGGAAGAGATGACCAGTCGGAATTTCCATGCATTCGGTTTCAGGGGACCCTTAAACTTTGAGGCCTACATACAGTACTGCGAGTATGGCGGCTTCCTTCAAGCTATGAGCGCCTTGCGCGGGATGAAGCTAATGTACAAAGGCAAGGACGGCAAGGCCGTGGCCTGTAACATCAAAGTTTCTTTTGATTCCACCAAACACCTGGGAGAGGCTTCGATTAAAAAACGGCAGCTGGAGAGGCAGAAGCTTCAAGAGCTGGAGCAGCAGCGAGAACAGAAGCGCAGAGAGAAGGAAGCAGAGGAGAGGCTGCAGGTGACGGAAAGGAAACAGAAGGAGTTGGAAGAGCTGGCGAGAGACAGGAAGAGGGAAGAGAAGCTTCACAAAAGACCGAAAAAGCAGAGGGACCGAGAGTTCTGGCGAAGTCAGAAGCAGCTGGAGAAGCTTCAGGCAGAAGAGCAGAAAAAGCTCCAGAAGATCAAGCTGGAGGAGAGGAAGCTGCTGCTGGTTCAGAGGAATCTCCAGTCCATCCGGCTTTTGGTGGAGCTGCTGAGCAGAGCCAAGGCTGCAAAGCTGGAGAAACAGGAAGAGCAGGAACTGAGGCAGGCGGAGGTGGAGCACAAGGTGCAGGCGGAGCACAAGGTGCAGGCGCAGCAGCGGAGCACCCTGCTGCGCAAGAAGCCCCACAACATGCACCCACACAAAGACCTGATGCAGCCCAAGCGAGATGTCCTGCAGACTGCATTTTCTGGCAGCTCTGTCACCTGTGCAGCCATGCCCCACCCCCTGGGGGGCCCACTGGCTCCCAGAACCCCCAAGGAGGCCCAGCCCCAAGTGGAGGCTGACTGCGCACCCAGGAACACCATAGGCAGCGAATCAGACAAGGTCTGGTACAAGGAGGCTCAGACTCCACTCCATGTGGTTCTGGAGGGTGACTCCCTAGAGAAGAGGTGCCCAGGAGTCCTTACCCGAATCCCCAAGGACAGCCAGCAGGCCAAGGGCATTCACACCAGCAAACACAGTGTGCCCAAGGAGGAGGATGGCTTGAAGCAGGTCAAGAATAACTTGGAGCCCAGCAAAGGCCACATGCGGGCCACACAGGATAGGAGAGCTGAGGAGCCACACCCATCCAACACAAGCTGGGCCAGAACCGCAACCAGCCATAAAGACCTGAGGCTGCAGTGCAAGGAGCAACAGCCAGGCCAGAAGCTCTCGCACAGGGACCAGGGCAGCCCTGGCCTGCGGAAGTCCCACAGCAAAGATGGGCACAGCCGCAGGGAGAGGAGCAGAGGGTACAGCGGACACCGCGAGAACTGCCAATCCCCCAGCAGCCACCAAAGAACAGGGAACAGGTAATGAAGGGCTGGGCCTCCCCAAGTCACTGCCCTGCATCTTGTGGCTCTTGACTGCCTGTGTTAAAGCCAAGTTTCTTATGCAGCCAATGTCCCGAATCCACAGTTCACAGTAAGACCGGGTACTGGAAACTCACTCTCGTTAGCCGCGCATACAAGGCCGCATTTGGCACACTAGTTTTAATTTTCCTTTGTCACTGCTGATCAGAGAATGTGGCCCATCCTCTAATCAGGAAAACCACAAGGACCAACGATGGTAAGAAGGAAGACTACAGAGCAGAATTTGTGTGTGCCAGCCCAGTCCAGCGACGTCCTGCAGCTCCAAGTGCGGGACTGTGAGAAGTGAGGGTTTCCACAGACTCCCAAGGCCCAATATGTCTTGCTACGGTGGGCTTTTGCTTTTTTTATCCTCTTCTTTCTGTAATTTTTAAATGACTGGTAGAATGCTGACAGAAGAAGATGACTGTGGCACATTCAGTCCTGGTAAGAAACTGGAAAACTCAAATGTGCCCTGCATCTTGGGGGAGTGGCAGAGTGGTTGATGCCCCTTGCCTTTAAAACACTTTTGACAGCTTCAAGTATAACAGCATAAAATGGTTGGCTGAAAGAACTGGTTTTTAAGAAAGGTTAGAGTGTATGGTTTTGTAAGAAGCCATTTTTGCTACATTATTTTTACTTGGAATGATCCCAACATATTTAAGGCCGCAAACTTGTTAAATTTTAATTGTTTACATCTCAAAAGTGAAGCTCTGGGATACTTAAAGATAGCTGTACACATTTCCATCAGAAGTCATTTACTCCAGGTAGCGTTTTTATGGTGAAATAAAATCCTTTTCTAATGGAAAAAAAAAAGAAGACAAGGCAGATGCACATATAATTTTAGTTTCTTTCTTTGTGTATTTCTAGAAGAGGAAAGTCTCACGAAGAATAAAAACCAAAACAGCAGGTAATTAAATATCACAAAGGAGCAGCTTGAAGGAACTTTTATTGGGGGTGTTGAGCAAAAGGAAAGGACTGACTCAGGGAGAGAAAATGACAATAACAAAACTGAGGTAAGCAATGACGGAAAGGTATAAAATTGTTTTGGAAAGAACATGGCATAGAAGAAATCTAAAAAAAATGGACAGTATATTCAGTTAGGGAAAGAAAACAAATAAATTCTAGCTCAACTCCTAAGGTGCTCTTCAGGCAACACCCTCGTCTTGTCCGAGTCTGGGTTATACCAGGAATAAAATCAGTTTTAAGCTGTATGACTCTAAGGTTTCTTTAGTTTTGAAATGTTATCTTGTGCAAAGCTAAAGAGACTGGAAAGAGGTTAGAAATAATTTAACTTTAACCCTACATTCTGTTTAAAACAGTATCTCTCAAATATCATTTCAATGTGTAACAGCTATAAAATATTAAATTTTGTATATCAGAATCTTTGCAATCTGTGTATTTTACACGCCTAGCACATCTCCATTCAAATAAGCCCCATCACAGAAGCTCAACAGTTGCATTCGATTTCTGGCTACTATACTGGATGGTGCAGCTCTAAAGGGTAATTTACAAGTTAAATTTCTCTTTCAATATCATGAATCAATCCATGTTCCCTGGGCACCCATCCATGGTTTCTCCATTATAGAGGGGCCCAGCCCTTTTCTCTTGCCCTTAGAGAAATTGTTTGTTGTCATGCCCTTCTTCTGCACCAAAGTTTCGAGATAAAGTACGAGACTGATTATTTCTCTTCTGTTAACTGATTTCTGAAATTGCTAGATTCTACAGTTACATTAAGAAGACTTTTTATTAAAACTTCTAGTGACAAAACTGTAAAATCTATAGCCTTGTGAAAATGTATTAACTTTTCTAAGTCAGCCACTAAGAATCTAGACTTTTTGAAAGTTTAAGTGGTGTTTTCAGCTATATTTGTTTAACTGGTTGAAAGTCCTGAAGGTCTGTTTGTTCTTTCTGGATCTCATAGCGTTCTCTTTTGCCTGCTCCTCAAATACAGTACTATGAATTTTTGGCCGTTCATCTTATTTGTATGTCTACGGATCTGCACTGAGCATTTTCATGTACTTTTAATTCATCAGGTGTATTTCTCTTACAATTAATTACTCAGGCTCAACTTCGCTCCTATTCAGTTGTGTTTTTTTTTTTCTTTCTCCAAGACCAAAATAGATATGTTCATCTGAATGACTTTCTTGTAGGTTCATTTTAATGTAAAACTCATCTTTTTTCTAAATTCAATCCAAGTTTTGTATTTTTATTTTAGTTACCAGGACCACTCCTAATTTTGAAGCCAGAAACTTGAGATTTTTCTTAGAATTCTCTTTCATCCTTCTCAGGACCATCAAATCCTATTATTCCTCAAAATGTCTTGTAAGTCATATCTCCACTTTACCACCACCTATTCCTCAGTCTGTTTTAATGGTCTCTTCATTGCCCTTTCAGCTACCAGGGTCTCAAGAGAATATTCTAATTTATCCTCAACAGTGATACCAATATTGCTTTAAAAAGATACCATTTCTCTGTTTAGAACCATGTTAACTTCCTATGGTTTAGAAAAACAAATCCAAATTCTTTGTCATGCAAGGTTCTTGACATTTTTTATTTGTTTCAAGATTCTCTTACATTAGAATCTTCTGTTCTATTCCCTCCCGTACTCTATTTCCCAATATGGTGGGTCTCCTTTGCCTTGAACTTCAACTCCTTTGTCTTTCTCTTTGCCCGTACTAGGTATTGAACCAGAGGCACTTCTCCACTGAAATACATCTCCAGCTCTTTTTAATTTTAACTTTGAAACAGGGTCACACTGAGTTATCTACGGTGGCCTTCAACTTGCCATTTTCCTGCTTCAGAAGCTGGGGTTATAGGTGTGAGCCCTTCTCTTGCACTACCTGACAACCTTCTGGTTCCTATTCAAGGGCCACTCAAATGCCAGCTTTCACTATTAAACCACTCTTCTCTTTATTATAGAAATTAAAATATTCATTCACTTGTATTTTTACCTCTTAAGTATCTTCCTTCCTCATTACACTGTAAGCTTCTAGATTTTTTTTTTTTTTTGGTACCAGGAATCAAACACACGACCTTCGCTTGCCAGGCAGGCTCTGTGCCGCTGAGCTATATACCCAGCCCCACTGTAAGCTTCTTAAAGGCCATTATAATTTTTTTGGTAATGAGTGGTGTGTGTGACACAGTAATAATTCAAAATCTGCTAATGTCCTTCCATCAGCCACACTTTTCTAACATTCTGTCAACTTCTCTAGTTTGATTTTTAAAATACTTAAACTTTAAATCAACTTGAATTTTTTTGTTTGTTTTGAGACAGGGTCTGGCTATGTAATTCAGGCTGGCCTCGAACTAGTGGGGATCCTTTTGCCTCAGCCTCCCAAGTGCTGGGACTGCAGGTGTGTACCACCATGCCCAGCTTCCACTTGCATTTTAAGCCTGGCTTAAACTATGCAGCCAATTTTACTTTTCCACAAAAGAAATTATTCTCAATACCATTTAATAATTAATTCTTTAAAAAAAACAAAAACAAAACCAAAAAACACTGAAAACAAGCTGGGCGTGGTGGTACACATTTGTAATCCAGGCACTTAGGAGGCTAAGGCAGGAGTATTGCTGGGAGTTTGAGTCCAGCCTAGCTACACCATGGGTTGAAGGGCAACTTAAAGGACATAGTAAGACGCTGTGTTAAAACAAAAACAAAACCCCAAACCAACCAACCAATCAGGACATGCTGCTTTTCTCTTAAATAACTTTAAACTCTCACTCAGATAATGCATTAGCCTTTTGTTTTTTATGACATCTTCAATGCCATTCCAGACTGACTGCCACAAATCAAAGCTTCTTAAATGGCAAAACCAATTCCCTCATTCCCCAATCTAAAAGCCTCTGCTGCCTTCTGCCAACAATATCAAATGAACTTCTTAGTGTTTGAATCCCTCCACAAAGAGGTTCCCCTCTGCCGTTTCCCATAACTTTTCTTCTTTGGCCACTCCAAGCACAGTGATGAATAAATAGCAGGAGACTGGGAGTCCAACCCCAACTCCATCTCTTGTGAACTGTAATGCTGGGCAGTTATTTTGCCTTGCTATGCTCAGGTGCCTCTTCTGTCGCATGGGACTAACAGCATCTATCTAGCTTGTTATGTGAAATCAGATGAGTTAGTAAAGAAATCTAAGCAAAGCGTGGAGCATGGTAACATATCAATAATTATATTTTCTAAGGGAAGTCTTTCCACTTTTGCAACACCTTCCTAGCATGTTCTTTCTCACTTAGATCTTTAGTCATATAACTGTTCTCATGTATCAGCTGTATCACAATTAGTTCTGTGTCTGCAAATAGACTGCAACCCTCCCTGGATCCTTGCCACCCCACGGATCAGCCGCTCGGCAGCCCAAGGTTCTTGTAGTAAAGCAGAAACTTAAGCTCCGCCCCAGACTCGAAAACCAGGGAATCATCTGGGAAACTACTGAAAATGCATAATCCTAGGCACCAAATTCTGTCTGAGCTTAGCAAGCACCGCTCCTCATATTATTGCAGATGATCTCCACGTCACGGTGCAACTTTGGTCTGGAGCCCATCCCAGGGACTGCGCCTTATCTGTCTTTGCAGAGCAAATGAGCTCCTGCGGGACGGAATAAAGAAAACGACAACCTCAGTTTGGGGACATGGGGCGGTGGACTGGGCAGGAGAGCTCAAGGGCGCCGACAGGAGAGGGTGAGTTCAGAAACTCACGAAATGACGTCCTGACCGTGATCCAAAACAACAACGATTGCACCTGGCTGAGGAGCTTCAAACTCGGTAGCGTGGACACGCCGGCCAACCGGGTAAGGGGCAAACAGAGTCAGGACTTTGTTCCGACGCCGCTCCCCGGCCCGGCCCTTACCGTGCAGCAATAGCTCGGTCTCCCGCAGCTCCTGCTCCTTCTCGCTCAGGAGTTTGGCCGCTGAAATCAATTCGGGGTCCTTGACTTGTAAATGGGCTTCAGACTTCGCCTGGCGCTCCAGAAAGGTCCGCAAGGGCCCGCCGGGCACGAACAGCTCCTCCAACGGCGGGCTGCTGCAGATGAAAGACCGGTGGGGCTGACAGGGAGCCCGGCGGGCCCACAGACTACGCGCAGCACCCCACACAAGTCGACCCCGCATCGCTAGGCCGGGAGGAACTTCACAGGTGGAGGGGGGGCGGGCCGGAAGTTCCGGGCGGAGCCAGTCTCGCGACACTACACGGAGTTTAGGAACCAGAGTTAGCCACACCCAGCCGGGCGCGCCCGCGCCGCGATTCAAGGGCCTCCCGGAAGCGTTGGTGATAACTTCCGCCAAGCGTGGGAAAGCCGCGAAGTAGGTGAAGGCCAAAAGTTGAGCGGGTGGAGCCGGCAGAGCGGGAGGGGCAGCGCTGGCAGCGGGGCGGTCCCGGAGGCCTTGGGCATCTGTGGAAAGCCTCGATCGGAAACGCTTTCCAGCTCTTGCTGCTGCGTGTTGGGCAGGGATGGCAGAACGGCACGCTGCTGTAGTGTTTGCTAAGGCAGCGAGTGATTGTACCGCATCCACTGTCACACCACTCATCTGCGAAATCTCCTTGCTCTAATATGACTTCTCTCACCTGCCCACCTTTTTTTTTTTTTTTTGTATTTTTAAAGGAGGTTGAGTGAATTTGTTACAACAAACTGTGGAGGTGCAAAGCCTTCGATGACCTGCCAACTTGGTCAGGTGAACTCCTTGCCCAGGTTGCGTAAGACCCTGGATTTGATCCCCAGCACCAGGTTTAAATAAAAAGACCTGCCACAGGTAGCCTAATCCTTGCCCTACCCCCTGACCCCCAAAACTTTTGGATAGGGGCCAGGAATAATGAAGTTCACTGGTATAATTCTTTCCGGTTTTCAGAAGTCGTATTCATAGTCCACAAAAGAGATAGACAGAAAGGAAAAAACAACCTGACAGTGCGAGGACTGAGTGCTCAATCTGGAAATGCCCATTCCCTACCTCGTTTGGCCAGTTACCTACTCAGGGAAGTGGAGTTACACTGCTAAGACACGTGACTTGCTGAAGTAGCTTCTGATTTATAGCCCCCCACCCCCAACTGCATAAAGCCCTTCAGTGGCTTCCCAGCGCCTTAAGTTTTATAGTTGTTTTTATTAGTACATGTTTACAGTAAATAATGATTACAATCCTTGTGAAGAGCTGGAACATAGCACATCTTTTTTCATCCCCTTCCCCTCCCCTTGCCCTCCCTCCAGCTAATTCGTCCTTTAAAAATAAAATCAAGTGGTAAAGAATGGGACCTTCTAACAAGGTTAAAATACCCCTCAACCAAAACTATTAAGTCTAAATTCTTTTTTTAGTGTTTTTGAGACAGGGTTTCCCTATGCAGTTAAGACTGGCCTCGGACTCACTTCGTAGTCCAGGCTGGTCTCAAACTCGCAGCGATCCTCCTGCCTCAGTCTCTCAAGTGCTGGGATTACAGGAGGGCGCCATCGCACCCGGCCTTAAGTATAAATTCTTAAAAATCAATTTACATTGTCTTCATCCCTTGTCACTACATGACAAATGCAAAGTGAAGTGGAAGAATGAAATGATTCTTCAAATACTACAATGCAGAAATAGTTTTGCTACTTAAAACTCCAACTAATTACAGTTCATCTTTTCACTTGTCTATGCAAGCTGCACTACTTTAAAAAACTGCTCCGCTGTGAAATAGCGGTCAAAACTCATTTTAATTCAGATCTGAGTACAGAATGGACCTGCTGGGTTGTTTATATCCTTACATGAAGTTATTTTTTTTTTTTCATCTTTTTGAGACAGGGTCTCACTATGCAGTTCATATATGAAGTTGTTTTTTTAGCTCTACACTCAACTTTGAATTTTTCCTACATAGAAATAAATGGTGGAAGGGGCTGGGGGTTTAGCTCAGGAGCACAGCGCTTGCCTGGCAAGCACGAGGTCGTGAGTTCGATTCCCGGTACTGGAAACAAACAAACAAAAAAAAAAAAACAAAAAAAAGAAATAAATGGTGGAAGTAATTTGAACTCAATATGGTAAGTCTCTCAGCTAAATTCTCAAAACATAAGTCATTTCAAGAATGTACTTTATTATTTATTAAAAAGGTGCAAAATTGTTATAAGCAGTAACTAAAGAATCCAGTCAGAGTTTACTTTCCCTCGATGTGTAAGCAATTTAAGAAACACACATAAGTGTATCTTTTATTCTTATGGTGTACACCAATGAGGAAACAGTAACGTCTAAGGATACATCGCTGAATTCTTTATTAATTCAAAACATTTTAAGAAAGTGTAATGCATGTGCATTTTACAATATCCATAGGTTTCCACAATATAATTCAATGAAAACAGCTGTTTGCTTTACTTTGTAAGCTCAAATATACTTAAGAGACTTCTGAATGTTTTTACATTGTCATGCTTAAATTCTATTACATGGTGAAATATCTAGCATTTTCCAGATATACAAAGGTAAAATGATACACAGGTAAAATGATAAATGCAAGAAAGGGTAAATAAAAACCCAGAAAGAATTTAAATTGGAGGAAAATAATCAGGAGTAAATACTCAATTAATGAGCACCTACAGTTATTTTGGCATTGCAAAATAACCAAGCATGGTGCTCCTGAAGCTGTATCCATATACTCAGCACTTCTTTATAGTCCACTAGCAAATACTGGTGGAGTCCAAAATACGGATATAGATTACTACATACAATGAACATAGTAATAAGTTATACTTCAGTATGATAAATTTTATAGAAGCAAACATATTAAAATCCTTTTTAGTATTTAGCAAACATCTTAAAATCATATACAAAAACACTGTACTTAAGACAAATTGGTTCAGTCTGGGGAGGAAGGGGTATCGAGTCTCACTGCAATATTGAGTACATTGTTCAGTTGAGGGACTATAGAAAAGCACTAAGCAAAGTTATTATCAATTTAAATTACCTCTTACTGCAATTCGTCAGAGATCTTTAATATTCAAGAGTATGTGTATGATTATGTTAATTACACAGATAGTCTGGGGGTAAATTCATTTTTATTCTATTAAGTGAATATTTACGCTAGCACTGTTCGGGAGTCTTATTCTTCCATTTCACTTTCCAGGTCATTGTATTCACACTATTTGTTAGTAAGTCTTTAATGGAACTTAAAGTAGTGTTGAGGAATATCTTTAAGAGTTTTCTTTTTTAAGCTCAATGTAAATGTCCAGTAAATTTACCTGTAATATGCACTTCTTAAAAATTACCTCTACTATCACCTCTTACAAAGTACTATTTTATAATGGAGAAACCTTTTCTTTCTTCATCTGGTGATCAAGGTCAACATCAACACCTAAGAACCTAAAGTTTGAGAAATTCTCACAGCAAGACATGATGACGACAGGTACTATTGATATCATGTGCCGAGATGGTAATACCTCTGAGGTATTCCTTCCAAGAATATAAACACCTGTCTAACTATGAGAAAAACATCAGACAAATCCCAAAATAGAGAAACTCTGCAAAATGCCAGATCAGTACTCAAAACTGTCAAAGTTATCAAAAATAAAGTCTGAGAAACTTATAGCTAAGAGAATGCCAAGGATACGTGACAATTAAATGTAATGTGGTATCCTGAATGGGCTCCTGGGAAAGGAAAAGGATTACATAAAAACTAAGGAAATTTGAATAAAGTATAATCTGTTAATACTGCCTCATTAATTGTGACTGATATCCTGTGGGTGTAAAGTATGAGGACTTTTTGTCTAATATTTGCCGTTTTTGCATGAATCTGAAACCATTGTAAAATAAAAGATTAATGAATGATGATTTCTAAGTCTTTTATTAGTTTTACCTCTATCACCTCTTTATATATTTGTAAATGACTTTATATTACTGATCTGAAGAACTGTGACAAAATATATGTAACACCATTCTTTCTCTGTTTATTTAACGTTCATGGCCATCCTGTGAGTCAGTATTCTTCATATGCATATGAGAAGACAGGCTCAGCAAAACTGATTTGCCCGTCCATCATTGCAGATGATAGAAATGTTAACCTGAAATTAAATTTGTCATTTTAAGTTCTTGACTTTTTCCACTATATTATATATATGAATCTGGGATATACATTTACATTAGTAAGCACTGTATATGGTATCACGTTAGAACACAAATAAGAGCTAAATCTTTCTCTCTCTCTTCATTTCTTTCCTTTCTTTATCTGGTACCAGAATTGAACTCAGGACCTCGCACTTGCCAGGCAGGAGCTTCACTGCTGAGCTAAATCCCTGGCCCTAGAGCTAGATCTTTTAAAAGGAAATGTATCCAGAAACACAACTTGCTCATTCTTCTAAAATATTTATTTCTAACTATTAAAAGGTGTAGTGCTGTATTAGCAGTTGGGTATAAATTAAGTCTTTTTTTTTTTTTTTTTTTTTTTTTTTTTTTTTGTCTTTTTGAGACAGGGTCTCAATATGCAGTTCAGGCTGGCCTTGAGCTCACTTTGTAGCCCAGGATGGTCTTGAACTTGCAACGATCCTCCTGCCTCAGCCTCCCCAGTGCTGGGATTACAGGCATGTGCCACCACACCCGGCTAAATTGTCTTAAAATTCTGAAATTTCTGCAACAGAAGAGACTTACTATGAGAAGTAATAAAGGAAGAATGAATTTCAGGTTGTACATATAACATAAGAAAAATAGTACAAGTGGTTGTCATCAGCGCTTAATAGTGTTCCTTTTCCTTATTTTAAAGCTTTTGTCCTAAGCTTTTGTCCTAATGAAAATTAGTCCCCAGACTGAGACCTGCTACCACTTACAGTAGAGTAGTTCTTCGCCTTCCAGTGTTTTCATTAAAGTTAAGGTCTAGAATATCCCATTGAATTAATCTGAAAAGATATCTCTTGGGGCTGGGTAGGACTATTCCTGCAGGTCATAGTTTTAAAAATACTTATCAATAAATCAAAGACTGGTATTTGGAAATAAGTCCTTATCACTCTGTACTATTGTGGGTAGCAAAGATACTATAAATGTTACAGAGAAGATCTGAAGCAAATTTTTGATAGCAGTTTTATTGATAAATATTTGCAATTATAGCAAGTGCATTAAAATTTGTACAGATTTAAAACTTTTCAGGACAACAATGTATATCAGAAATTTAAAAACTGAGTAAAGCACTCACATATCAGTGTTTGCAAAATATAATTTGAAGACTGGGATCATAAACTATCAAAGTAAATAGACAAGGAAGTTTTTGGGAAATATCTTTACCACATTTCAAAATAATATGCCAATGTATCAAGCTCAAAATATTCAAAGTTCTTTTTTGATAGGGCTTTAGATGTAGGCATTTTCTGTCTATCTTGTTAAAAAACTTTAATGACTTTCCAAAAGGTTCTCATTTTCCTATCTTGTGACTATATTTTAAATCCCTTGCCTTTACCTTTCTTCACCAAAGCATCTAATATTTTGTTCTTGTTGTAAATGTAATTTGTCATAATTATAATATTACTTATTTTTCAGTAAAATTAAAAGTATATAGAAAAATGAGTAAACTTAATATTAACAATCTGGTACTATGTTATTTTTAAATCAACTTAATCGAGTAAAAATGTGTATGTGCTTCCAATAAATAAATATTATTTACCTATTTCTATACTCCTTTTACTAAATTGAGCTACCAGGTAAATATACAATACACATTTTATACTAGGCAACATTAAAAGATACACATAAACACCCCATGCACCGTGACCAACCATCAAAGCTGGTCATCTTGTACATATTTTAAGATTAAAAAAGAAAGACCACATTATTGACTTTTGCATTTCATAACTTCAATATCAAAACTGTGTTTTGCACTCATATGTGCCCCGTAACACTGCCAGAGCACGCAGGCTAACTTTGGGTAATAAATAACAAGTCAGAGTAAAGAAGTGTCATCAATTGCTGAAGAGAGCTGAGTATCCAGCTTATCTATATATACATAGTCTAAATCATCTTCTTTCTGTTATAGATATATTTGAAATTAATATATTTATTTGTTTGTTTTTATGTTTGTTTTTCTTCCGGTACCGGGAATCGAACTCACGACCTTGCGCTTGGCAGTCAGGTGCTGTGCTGCTGAGCTAAATCCCCAACCCCTTGAAATTAATATAGAAAGCGCACTAACCTCTGTCTGTGCATTAGCAGATTCTGTGTACAAAGAAATCCTGGCAACCTAAAATACAAAGTGCTCCTTTTAAAGTGCTAAATTTTCCCCAGGGAGGAAATTACTCATTAGGAAAAATCAAACTCTAATAAAGCATATATTGTGCTCTTGGAATGGTAGCCTAGACACCAGTGAAGGGCTTGTTTATTACAGCTCTGTGACTTAAACGAAGTGTACCATATTTTTAAAAAACTGATAAAGTCATAAATACACTGACATACTCAGAAACTTTAAACATTGTGAGATTAAATGAGAAACCCTCTCATCCCCCCAAAAAATATGAGTATAGCACAGAAATGCTCATATAGCATGGTTGCCAACATCTATTATGTAATCTGCTCTAGAATCCTTCTGAATACAACTTTCTTATCAGGTTTTAAGTGGATATACCACCTTGTAAATCTGTATTCTACAAATGCCCAGGTTAGAGATTAGGACTCTTTATAAAGGCCCTTATCTTTTACATTTGGTAATTTATTAAACGTATTGTCAAACAGACAATTCATCTAATAGCCCAAAGTATCTTATAAAGATAACTTATGACTAGCAGGTCACCATCATATATAGTAACAACAAGAATTATAAAGTCTACATTTAAAAAGATTGATGCATGCTGAGTGTCATAATATATTACATATCTTCTAGCCATGTGCACCAATTGGTTGTGCCTCAAATACAGAATGATTCTATACCATATATGTTTATATATCATAGTAACACAGTAAACAATTCTAATCAAGAAAAAAATGATTTAGCAACAGTAGAACTTCACAGTAGAAGTGATGATGCTTTTAGGTTTTACTTTACTCTTTAGGAAAAATATGAGATTTTGTAAACATCGTCATAGCTATCTTTTTCAACATATTACTGAAAACTATTATTTGAATAGTAAATAAGTGACATGGATAAAATATGTCAACACACTAACACTTTGAAAAAGCAAGTATTTGTTAAAAGATGAGTATTATAAATATTTCCTATCTTGCATTTAACTATATTTTCATAAATAATGTATTTAAAAGTGCTGAATATGGTAGGATAGTCAGCAACGCCAGTGTAAACAGAACATTTTGTTTTCTACTCTGCAAAATTTTTTTAATCCCATTTTGTCAAACACTGCAACAGTTAAGATATTTGCATAGGGAATAGATAATAGCCCTTTTATTCATGTCTCCTGAATTCTATATAAATTATAAAATCATAGTCACTTAAAAAATTCTTGAAATGTTTAAAGTTTATGGAAAAAGAAACTTACTATGCCAACCTTTCAAGTAAAATAAACTTAAAAAGAAAAACCCCAAACTTGTTTTTTTAAAAATATGTTTAATAAATTAAAAAATGAGAGGTAGTTAAAAATGACAAAGAAAACTTGTAATTTTAATATCATCCTTAATATAAGGCCAGTGTTTTCCATGGATATAAATCTTTTTAAAACTTTCATTTTAGTTGACTCAGTATTATATTCATTCACCTTAAGGTTAAAAAAATAGTATCCAGGGATATTAATATTCAAATGTTACACTTTGATATAAATATGACACTGATTATTATTATTATTTTTGTGCACAATAGGACATTGTTTTGAATGTCAGAAGTACAAGCCAATATCAGGCAAGTATTTTTTATAGAGTTAGTGTAATTATAAAAAATAATATGGCAGCTAAAAGATTTGAGCACTGTACTGCCTTTTAATTATGGATGAGAATGAATAATTTGGTTTTAACTTTTTTAAAATAAATGTTAAAGATACTATGTGAAAACAGTTAAGGTCTGAAGTAGAGAAGTACCTTCTTCACAACCTTTATGAAATATTTTATAGCAAAAACTTAGCTTTTCACTGGATTTTACTTTCAAGCACAGGAGAGATCCTATTCGTCAAAATGTTTTACAGTGCTACATATAGGCATTCCTTTATTAAATCCTTTTCTTTATATTCCAAAACTAAGTTATCAAGTTTATTTTTTTTCTTGCTGAAGTACATAACTTTACACAACCATTTGAGAACTGGAGAGCCAGTCTTTAATAAATTAATTACAGTATTGGACATCTGATATATACATAGATTCATCTTGTATTACAATTAAAAACAATATCACTTTGATTTGTCATTGAGCTAAGATATCTTCAAATTGTTTTGTGCTTTTTTCCCTTTTGTCTTTTTTTTTTAACATTGCAGTCTTCTGTAATGAAAATGCCACAGTACTGGCAGTGAACAACCAGAGGAATCCTTCATTAGGATTTTCCAACAAGCAGATAAGTAGCTCTTTTTTTCATATACAGAAATATTGGCTTCAAAAGTAGTATACTAAACACAGTATATAGCATGTTGAATACTATTGTTACATTTTAAAAATTGCTTTTTTTCTGTTTCAGATGTTTAAAAAAATGCAAACCACAGCCCATTTTTGGCAATTATTTAGTAAGACCATATTGCACAAAAGTCCTTAAATACAGATATAAGTTACGCGATTTGATTAAATAGTACAACAACTATGTGACAAATGAAGCAGTTTTTACTTTGCACATGCAGCCTCTGGAGAGAACTAGGAGACTCTTCATAGCCTACAAATACAGTTTGCTCGCAAGTAGCATGAGTGCTGCATAAAACAAACCTAATTTGGCAATTCATTGTTTTATGTGGTATTTTCTCCACACTCAATCATGGATAACCTTGATAAAAATGGAGACAAAGACCATACTAGTAGTATTTTCACAGTATCCTGAGGAAAGCTAAACTGTAGTCCTCCAGGAACTCAACTTGGGATGTTATTTCATTTTTTCTGTTTCCCGTCCCAGCCCTCCCAAATGATTTTTTCAAATGAAAATTATGATTCAGAAGAAGAGCCAGCAGTACTTTCAACAAATGCCTTATAAATCTGAGAGTTCAAAAACCTTGGAAAAGAATCTCTGTGCATTAAGGTATATATCTGAAGTTGGGCATCTTCATACATGTGAGGGTTAGGATCCAACAGATTTCTATTGATCACCTCTCTAACTCGAGAATCGAGACTGACCTAAAAAGAAATAAGAGCAGACAAATTAATATTATTTTTCAAAAGACCTCACATAACTGCAGATTTGTGATATTTCAGAGAAACTTCAGAGTCAGTCCAACTTCCACAATTCTAAGGTTGTCTTTTTCCCTCTTTACCTCCCTTTCCTTCCTTTCTCCTTTCCTTTCCTTCCCTCCTCTCTCTTTTCTTCTTTCTTCTCCTTTTCCTTTTCTTTCTCTTCTGTCTCTCTGTCTTTCATTCATTCCTTCTTTGTCTGTCTGTCTCTCTCCTTTCTCTTTTTTTTTTTTTAGTGTTACTATATAGCCCAAGCCATCCTCCTGCCTCCTTCATCCTTAGTGTTGGGATTACAGGTGTGCAACACCTGTCTGGCCTCAGACTGTCTTTTCAAAGGCTACATAGCCTTCATAATTTTCTCCCCTTGAACATCAAATTAAACTGAACAAAACAAGATTTTATGCCAGAAATTTGGCTCAAATGTATCTTGACCTACTTGGATTTATCTTTCCTAAGCATTCATTCATGAGCTTGTGACAGTTTCTATTCACTGCAGACGTACCACAAAATAACGAGAATATAAATTGACTGCCTCCTCTTCTGCACCTGCTGGAAAACTCTCTTGATCACTGAGCAAAAATTTGACAGAGTTCACTCACAAAACCTAATATACACATCAAATGTTGATTCTTAGTATTTTAAAATCCCAAGCAGTCCTACTGCATCAAAAGTAGGAAACCAGGAACGTGGCAGGGCAGAGGGAAGGAGCAATGTAGCAGGTATTCTCAAGATTCCACATCTATCTGGCAAGACCTAGGAAAACCCAACACGAATAAACGCAAAGATCTCTGACCACAGAAAAAGCAGAACTGGTCTTTAAAACAAAGTTTGAGAGAAATACAAACAGGAATTCAAAATATTCATTAAAATAATGAATACAGTGGAATTTGAAAAGTGTATAAGAATTAAATTCTGTAATGATTTAGTTTTTGGACATAATGTAAAGGGAAGAGAAAAAAAATAAATAGCAATAACATTATGCTTGGGGAAGCAGAACTAAAGCTCTGCCCTGAAATGCCATGTTAAAACCCAGTCCTAGGGCTGGAGATACAGCTCAGATGCGTAAGTACTTGCCTGGCAAGCCTGAGGTCATGAGTTTGATTCCCAGTACCAAAAAACAAACAAACAAACAAACAAACAAACAAAAAAACCCAGTCCTGACTGATTTCAGCTGTCACTATTGAGCAGGGTATAGGATAGTATGTTCCACAATTAATTGTTCCACACACACCTTTCATATTTCTATATAAACCTCTTGTCATAAGCATTTTGCAAAGTATTTTGGTTCTGGCTTCTTTTCTAATCCATGATCTGGATGGCCTAAGCTCTGAAAACAGTGTGAATGAAGCCACTAATATTTCATCGAGTGTCCGGAGACTCAGAGCTCTACTAACCCGGGGGAACTGGATTGACTGATACACCTCAGCAATGGCTGCTAGATTTGTCAGGAAATAGTGATACAAAACAAAAGAAAACCAACAACAAAAAGGGAAACGGTGATTCAGGCTAAGTGTCAACAATTATAGTTAAACCAAGGGATATACAGAAAATTTAAACAACTCTTAGAACTGTACTTTCTTCGTTGGGAATTCTTAGAAGATGTTCTGAAAAAAAAAATTGTCTAATTTTTACTTTCTGTGCCATATGAAATCATTATCAACCACAAAGTAATAAAAAAGTATAGAATTTTCCCTAAACTCTTTATTTTACCTAAAAATACCTTGTGTTTTTACTTAACAGGAAACTATTGACATTGGAGCTTAAATTGATTCTTCCTACTCTGAAATGCAGTGTTATGGTAGGGTGAAGTCTTAACCAAACACTTCTCTGTTTTTATATATGGTGTGCTTGCTATTAATCTTGAGAGAATGTTTTGTTTCAGTGGAGAAGAAAAATTCAGGCTAGCAATCAAGAAAAGAGGGTCATTTACTTCTTCAATAACAGCATAACTAAGCAGTATAAGTTTATTGGTAGCTGAAATCAACTTAGTTATATTAAGACAAAAAATAACTTCAACGGCTACGTGTCTTAAATCCTGTTTAACTGCCAAATTTCTTTGCAAATTAAAAACAGTAGCAAAATATCACAAGGAATACAGTTCAACATTTAGTAATCCATTACAAAACTGCATTTGTTATTTCCATTTGAAAAAATAAAATATTTACCTTAATATTTGGTTGTTTATTTGGAAAGGTTGTTGGTCAGTCAAAAGAAGTGTAGAGAGGCCAAGTGTCAAGGACAAACCCCATGGGTTAACAATTTACAGTTTCATCTTGTGGCATCTTGTGCTTCAGAATGAGGAGCGTCTATAAGACAAGGTGGTGTGGTGGGTCCCAGCTTGGACCTGAGCCACAGTCATCCTGGGACTCAGAAATGTGTGGATGGCTTATAAAGCCATCTTATCTGGGGTCCACTGCATGAGGGACTGAGGAGTTTCCTGGAAAAAAAACTCATCCTAAGGGAAGAGAAAGTTGAGTAGTACAAGACAAGAGCTAACCTTAAACTATGGAGACTCTCCTGGTCTCCACAGCCTTGTACCTAGATAGGGGAGGCAGCGGGTGCATTACAGAATAACATAGATTAAATAAAAGCCTAAGACAGCTCTGATAGATTTGGCTGCGTTTCACTGACAGCATCTAGCTGGCAGTTTTAGCAGTGCTGAAAACTTTGGCCCTGTGGGAAGCTTAAAAGTGACTTTGAGAACAGCCTGGTAGAAGCATTCACTCCCACAGGAAGAAGACAGGGAAGAAGACGGGCAAGCACACTAAAATGATCCGGAGCAATTCCCCAAACTGTTGGGGACGAAAATGCAATGTGAATTTGGGCTCAATAAAAGTGTGGAGGTAAAGTGGGGAGATGAAGGCAGAAGTCTTGCTAGTGTGGCTTGGGAGGAAGTCTTGCTAGTGTGGCTTGGGAAGCCAGTCATGTACATGGTTAATTACTCGATTTCCTGTTGCATGAGGGGGAATGCCAAGCTCAATGAATATTGTTAAAGGGAGTACAACAGTTTGTTTGTTTTTTTTGTTTGTTTTTTTTGAGAAAGGGTCTCACTATGCAATACAGACTGGCCTTAAACTTGCTTATGTAGCCCAGACTGGCTGCAAACTCACAGGGATCATCCTGCCTCAGCCTCTCAAATGCTGGGATTATGGGCCTGTACAACCACGCCCAGCAAGTAAAACAGTTTTGACCTTGCCTTTTTGTCCCAGCTATCAAGACACAGTGGAAATTTTGACTCTGCAGATATTGTTGACAGAATTATAGTGAAAATGAATAAATTTTACTGGAAGTATTTTCCTTCATAGAAGACGCTCAGTTATGTTAATTTCCTGAACATTTTTTTAAGCATATCATGATTACTGTTTCTCAATTTTTATCTGATACTTAATTTTATTGAAATTGCTTTACTCGGGATTCTTTTCTAAGTAAAATTTTTATTACTTTTTACTTTGGAAATCCATATCAAGATTTTACGAATTGTAAGTTTTATAGATTTAGGATGTTGGATTCTTCTATTAATTTTAGTAAATTTTAAACAAGTACTGGGATGCATGCCCGCCATCCCGGCACTCTAGGAGACAGGCAGGAGCACGGCAAGTTTGAGCCCAGTCTGAAGAACGTAGCAACTCAGACCTTATCTCAAAATAAAAAACGAAAAAGGGAGGGAGATTAGCTCAGTGTGAAAGCCCTGGGTTTAAACCAGTACCACTAAGTAAATAAATAAATATGCTTATTTATTTATTTTATCCATTTTACATTTAATCATGATTGTTTCTGTATTTGTACTTCTACTGAAAAAAAAAATTATAAATTACAAATAAGACCAATTATTTGAATTTACCTCTTGGAGCAAACGTTTTTGGTAGAATAAAATGTAGTAACCATATTCTTATATCCTGCTTGTCAAGGGGACATGGGACTGAGCATTTGGTTAGGGTTGCTATTTCTAATTTTGTCTGAAATTTTAAGGTTGTGTCTACAGAAATCTATGAAATGCCATGAAGAAAACACTGGAAAATAGAGGGCATAATCAGCATGCTATAGTTGGAAGAGCACCAAATTGGAATCAGAAGATCCTAGGCTTGTGTTCTATCTCAGTTGGATGTCATTCTTGTTTCTCGTATGTTCAAGGGTGAAGGGTGAGGGTGAAGGGTCACCGTTTGTCCTTGTAGCTGAAAGACTGTTGTTAAGACTCAGATTGTAGCAAAAGGTGCAAGACCACAATTAATTTTAAACTCATTGTAAAGTGCTAATAGTAACGATAATAATTGATCATAATTAGATGATACCTAATGTCTTTGGCTGTCCTGTCAATTTGAAATTTATTTCTCAGAGTGACCTTTTCTGACAATTCCTATGTTCGCTACTTCCTATCCTATTTATCACAGTAGTTATTTGACTTCAGCATGCTCTGTCTGTCTTCTAAAATGTAATCTCCATAAAGGTAGCCAGTGTCCTGTCTTATTCCCCATCATATCCCCAATATCTAGTCCAGCACCTGATTCCTTGGAAGCACTTGATAAATCTTTTTGAATGCTAATATGCATGCACATATAAAGAACTTAATATGGGAAGATACAGTCAAGTGAGTTTTGTTTAGAAAGCATGACTCAGATCATTGGAAATGCTAAATTCACATTATTTTGCTAAAGGCAAATACATGTACACACTGAATCCGTATGTCTGTCATGTAAGTTGTAGATGATCTCGAATATAAACAGATTTACTTTTTTTCTTTGGAAATTTAGGATAAAATCAGAAGCAAGCAATTCCAGCTGCTATTAAATTCACCATGTGGCAAACATCAGAGATTTAGTGGATTTTAGAGTTCTCTCCATGCCGTCATTCTACACACCAGGGAAGATGAAGCTCCAGGGCAGAGAAGTGAACTCCACAAAGGTCACGCAGATGTGAGTAGCAGGCCCGGATTATAGTACTGGCCAATG